CAATATAAATGATTTTATTATTATATATTATTTTTCCATGACGATAGGTGAGGCTCTGCCTCACCTGCCTCCCCTGACCCCACGTCACTGGTTCAGAACCCGAACATGTTTTGGTTCTGAACCAGTCGGTGATCAATTTCTGTTGCTTTGCGCCCTCTAGTGGAATAAAAATGACACAACACGTTCAGGCTTCATTTTTATTACAGAGAAATGATGGAATATTTATTCACTGATTTATGATGTTGCCACAGGCATTGTGGCAGTTATCCCCGATCAGCCGGTAGTTCGGGCCTCCGGCTCCAACAAGGTCCGACACCGTTTTGGTTCCCCTGAAGTTCTTGGACTCGATGACCTGCAGACAGGAAGAGGGTCCATCATGATACAGTTTCCGGAAGGAAGCTTCCATTTGAGCTTATTGTGAGCTAATGCCAAGTTAATGTAAGAGCCTCTGTGGCGCTGATCGCAAATGAAGTCATATTTTCCAGTTAAATATCACTTCAGAAAAGTCTGGATCTCCTGTCCTGCCATGGTGAGCAGCGTGGTCACCATCTCAGCTCTGTGTCATAAAACACTTCATCTGGAGTCTGTTGGCGGGTATTAAGTCTACATATTAATAACATAAATCAGCCGACCACAAACTGAATCAGCTGTCCAGGTATTTCCCCTACAGCTCAGCTTAACGCTCGTTTGTCTGACACTAACTGGCTGCGATGCGCTGTTTCAAATTTAGTAGTTGGACGATTTGCAATCAGTGTAAATCTGCAAAACACCACATTTTTATTTAACGGACACGGAGTTTTCCACAACACGTTCAGGAACCTCAGAGGAACCAAGCAAGTTGGAGATGATGCTGCTGGACTTCGTCTGCTTTGTCTCAGCCAATTACAGGCTACAAGCATCTGGAGAGAGAGCTTTGGTGCAGAAACGCCCCCTGTTGGTCAGTGGTGTTTAAAAGATTGAAAAAACAAAGCAGGGTAGAGAAAAAGGAAAGCTGGAAACAAACGCAGCCTAATGTGAAAAAACGGACAACTTTTTCACAAAAACAAACTCGTGTTTAGTAATGGCAAAAACTGTTAAATCAAGTCAATGAATTGTGTGTAGCTGTGGCATATGGAGAAGAAAGCTGAAGTATTCTTGTGATGTCCCATAAATGTCTTATAGTTGGAAGAAACATGCAGCTTTTCCACAGTCACTGGTCTCAAAAACCAGTCCAAACTGGTTCTGGACTGGGAAAAGTCAGGCTTTTCAGGAGGCCAGAAGTTCCGACCTCAACTTCAGCTAACAGTTGAATCCCAGGAAACCAACCAGTCTAAGGAACGTTTACCAATCCTCTGGGAAGGCAGAAGCTTGTGTGTGGTCTTTAACCACCACCGAACACTTGGTGGCGCTGTTGTACCTCAGATGTTTGGTGTGTTTGCTGCTCACCCGCCAGTTGGAGCTCATGTGTTGAGCATCGGTCACCACCGTCTGAGAGGAAACCCCATATCCGCCTCCTTTATGGATCAACCACTGAGATCTGTCAGCCAGAGTCACCCTGCAGAGAAACCACAGCACCTCCGAAGGTTACAGAGCCACCATTTTGTTTGCTAGCCATCTGCTAGGACCTTCTCAGAGAAGTAAACTGGAGATCAAAGAGAACCATGTCTCTGGGTTGATGGTAGAAATGCCTATATTCTCTTTAATGTGCAATTTACCTCTGATTGCTATGACTAACTTCACCACAAGATGGCGGTACTTACTCGATACCGGCCCTTTAACTCCTGAAACATTAAAAAGACACCAGAGAGAAAACTGGATCTCAGTCATGTTCCTCATCAACCTGCAGCTCTTTGGATCCCAGCTGATCAGTTCTGACCCGAACAGATCAGAACCGGATCCAACAACTCAAACTGGGTTTAAATTGCAGATCTGAGAAATAGACCAGGAGCCAGGAGCTTTCAGGATCAGTTACCATGACAACGCAGATGATGCTCATCCCTACATTAAAACGTCACCTGGTGACCTTTGAACCCACCTTAGGACAGAAACGTGTGGATGGGCCACAACTTTCTGAAGAGAAACAAAACTGAAGGTTTAATCTATGGACCTAAAGAGGGACGATCTAGAGTTATAGATCTAGACCAGGGCTGGATGATGCTGGTCCTGGAGGTCCGAGTCCTGCAGCTCTAACGTCTCCCTGGTCCAACACACCTGAATCCAGCAGCTGAATCTCCTCCTCAGTGCAGTCAGGTTCTGCTAACGGCCTCAGTGTTTGACTCAGGTGTGTTGAAGTTGAGACATGTAAAGGTTGCAGGAGGCCCTCCCCTCCTGAGCCAGAGTTATAGATCTAGAGTTATGGATCTAGAGTTATAGATCTGGAGTCAGATTCAGTTCTTCCAGCTGGGAACTAGAGCTCAGGCTGACCTCTGACCTTCAGAGCCACATAAAGACGCTCCAGTCTGCCTTCTATCAGCTGAAGAACGTTTTCCAGATTCCAGGATCTGGTTCTAGTTGCAGAACCAGATGTACTTTGGTAAGTTCTAGTATTTTTTGTTCGTTTCACAGTTGACGACTTGATGATGTTTCTGCTCTGCTGAGACGACCTCCAGCTCCAACGGTTCTCCAGGCTCTTTGCTAATGTTTCCATTGATTTCAGTTTCACTGACCGAACTCCACAGTGGCTGATGATTCCAATTGTAACAGGAAGGTTTCCCAGCGGGCGCCGCATCGCCTCCGCCAGGTGGACCCGCTTGTTGTAGAGGTCCGTCAGGGCGGAACCGGACAGGTCGTAGTGGAGGGCACCAGTGGATCCTGTCAGGGGAAAAACAGTCAGTCGGTCAGTCAGGCTGCAAACCGCAGAGCGGCTCTGAAGGCGCCTGTTGAAGAAGATTCTAGGTTATAATATTTCTTAAGAAAACTCTTTGGCTCGAACTTCTTCATCCCAGGTTCTCCCGGCGCGCTGCGTGTAGCCACACAAAAACAACAACGAGTGCAGACGTCACAGAATTACAGTTTAATCCAATAGAAAACGACGCATAAAATTACAACAGAAACTGCAGAACAACAGAGACATACATTCATTTACCTGGCATAAATGGAAAGAAGAAGAAGGAAAGAAAGAAAGAAAGAAAAGCAAAGACGTCCAAAGACGTCTTTGGAGAATTGCAAGAGCAAATCTGATTTCTTACTTCTGTGTAGAAAGTTTTATAGTAAAAGGCGTATTCTTATCTTTAATTTATTCAAATAAGGCGTATCTTTGCTCATCCAACCAGGAGCTATCTCTGACCCTCTCTCAAACTAGAAACCCCTGCCGTGTTTACGGCTTTTCACAGATGAGTGTGAAAAGCTGGAACTTCTCCTGATGGTTTCCCACACAGACAAAAGATCCTAGCAAACCATCTGCTGTAACTACAAGTAAAATAACGGTCAATAGGCCAAAATAAGTTACTGATTTAAAACCACAATTTAGGCCATTTGAATCAAGACATGCTCAGTTTTAAAACTAGCTTATTTTAAATTTATTTTCTTAACACGCCTCACCTCCAGACGACGACTCCACAGAACCGGCCAGCAGAACCAGAGCGGCTGAACACAGCAGAACTTTACAGAACATCATGGTGGACGGGTCTGTGGCCAGAGGTCCGGCCCAGCTTATAAGGAGTCCAGAACCTCCTCCCACTCACATGCTGGGATTTTCCACTGCAGATTTCATCACAGCAGCAGAGGCTGAAAGTCAAACAGGCAGAAAAACACGACCCAGTTCTACAGAACCACCTGTAAGGAACAAACTGCAGCCTGTTGGATCATTTAGCCATGACAGGAAAAATGGTTCATCTTTCAGTTTCATGTTATTCAGTCATTTATTAATACCAGGTTCAAACTAAATTTTTAGTTTGAAAACTAAAAATGTTTTAGCTACAAGCTACATATTTGGCATGATAGCTACAATTTTATTTTCCAAACTAAATTTTTCTTTTTAAATTAAGTATTTAGTTTGGAGCTAAATGATTACCTAAAATATGTAGCTTCTGATCTACATATTTAGTTAAATATTTGCTTGGAAAATAAATATTTAGCATGCTAACTAAGAATTCAGTTAAGCTAAATATTTAGCTTCTTAATTACATTTTATTTACAAACTAAATATTTAGCTAGGAGCTAATTATTTAGCTAAAGGATTTAACTTCTTAACTTTAGCTTTTGGCTAAATATTTGGCTGCTTACTAGCTAACTATTTAGTTAGGAAACAAAAAATTTAGTATGGAGTTAAATATTTAGCTTAACTAAATATTTGATTTGTATATGAAATACTTAATTGTTTTTAAATTGATATTTATAAATGAATAAATAGCTTGACTTTGCTAAATGAACCTCTGTGTTTTTCTGTCATGTCAGGCTGAATAATCCAGATTATTTCGTTTCGGTTTAAACTAGTTTAGCATAAAGCTGCTGTAGGTTTTGGTTGCAGTTCCACTGCTGTCCGCTAGAGGGCCCCACTCAGCAGCAGAGGCCTAATTCACGTTAATTTCAGTTTTCTTTGTCGTTTTCTCATGTCTGCTGTTAAAGAAACATGAAATCTGTTTGTAGTCGTCAGCTGAGTGACGATATCGGACATCTGCTCAGGTTCTGCCCTGGTTCTGGTCCGGTTCTGCTCTGGTTCTGGTCCGGTTCTGCTCTGGTTCTGGTCCGGTTCTGTGCAGCTGTCAGAGTTAAACTTTGGTCCGATGTTGTTGCTCAGAAGTTCCTGATCTGCTGCCAAAGCAAAGAGGTGAAATCATCAGATCTGCTCAGACCTTCAGCCTGGAACGTTTTCTCTCTTCTTTCATATCAAAGGTCGTTTCCAAACTTTATTTTCTCAGGTAAACAAGTTTATGAATGAAACGTCCAGGTTTGATCTTTTGTTGTTTTTATAAATTCTTTATCAACAAAATTTGGCTTTTTTGGCAAAACCTTTCATGATGAAGTAAAAACTGATTTCTACAAAATAATGACAATAAAAGGAAGATAATTTATACTGTCTAAATATTTCAACAACAGTTCATATTCATTGCTCTATTTTCCCACAGGAAGTTCCTGGTTGCACAGCTTCCTGTCCTCAGCTATACAGGAAGTGGTCCTGCTGGCGGGGAGCGACGACTTCCTGTTCGCCGAACAGGCTGGAGCTGCTGGAGCAGACGCCGCCGATGACGGGGAGGTAGGAGAGATGGAGAATGGGCAGCTGCAGGGAGAGCCGGCGCCGGATGCTGTAGAACCAGACAGAACCAAACCGGGTCAGACAGAACCGATCAGAACCAGACAGAACCGATCAGAACCTGTTCTGTAAGCGTTGATAACGAAGAACCTCTGAGTTGTTTGAACTGAACTGGAAGTTCAGCTTTTGAGGATCATCAGGTTTTTCCCTCCACTGTCGCCCTGTGCTTGCTGCAGATGCAGCTTCTGTCCGATTTGCTGCTTTCCTGAAACGTCCTTCACTGATTGGCCACAATTTTAATTTGGTTTTGGAATAAAATTTTATTTAATTGAAAGTGAAAATACACTGCTCAAAAAAATAAAGGGAACACTCAAATAACACATCCTAGATCTGAATGAATGAAATATTCTCATTGAATACTTTGGTCTGTACAAAGTCGAATGTGCCGACAACAAAATCACACAAGAATCATCAATGGAAATCAAATTTATTAACCAATGGAGGCCTGGATTTGGAGCCACACAATCCACACACAATTAAAGTGAAATGTTCCCTTTATTTTTTTGAGCAGTATATTTTACCTGAGTGAAGTTGCCCCACCCCCCACTTTCATAAAATCAAACAAAAATAGTGTCAATCAACTGGACTCCGTTTGTGCTGCTATCATTCCAAAGATATTAAGAAAAATGTTTCTGTGAATTTCATTTGAAATTAAGTGCTAACCTACGAACATGAATAATTTAATTTTAACGTTGATGAAATGATCTTATCTAGAATGAACTGGTACCCCACCTCCCAAAACACACTGGGTGAGCTGTAGTTTAGTTTCTGACCACCAGAGGGCGCGATTACACAAACTGTACTGTTGAAGTAGGACTAGAGCAAAACATGCTAACTATCTGGTCAGCTGTTTCCATCTCAGTTTCATGACCGACAGTCAGCACTTATTTTCAGTGTCAGTGCACAAACTGATGTTCATTGACCTTTGATGACCTCTAGAAACATTTCTTTGTATCTTTAAAATGATAGCTGTACAAACAAAAAATTTTACTACACAAACGTTTGACATCAATTTTGTCTGATTTGAAGAAGGTGGGGAGGCATCTTCACTCAGGTAAAATATTTTTGCCACATTTGATCTGTATCTAAATTCAGTCAGTTTTAGTCCTATGGAAAATATTTACTTTAGTAAAGTTGAAGGTTGAGCACATCGTTTGTATTTTCAGAGAGACAGGAAACGGCAGCAGTTATCAGGAGAAACGCTTTGAATCAAAGTATTTCTGGGAACAGAAGTCGTCCAAACACGCCACCCTGAGGAACACCGGCTCCGAGCAGCTGGAACAAAATGGCGGCTCTGTGATAAAAGAGGCTGGCGGCTCAATGAGCGTTGTCATGACGATGATGCTCCACTCACCGCTCTGGGGAGTTGATGTTCTCAGCTGGAGGTCTCGCCGCACAGACCTGGGCGTCATGAGTCCCAGACGCCGTTCCACATCCTGAAGGAAACGTAAGAAACTCAGGTTAGCAGCAGGAACACGACTTCCTGTGGGCGAGCGAGCGGCTGTTACCCGTTTCCTCCTGCAGCGGGGCAGAAAGCTCCATGGTGATGGTTTCAATCTGGACGTCCAGCTGTGGAAACCAGAGGAGACGCGGTTACACCTGGAGCTTCAGCTGTTCACCTGCAGCGCCTCACCTGGGCGCTTTGACTCCTCAGGTCCTGGTTCCTCCTCCTCAGACGCTCAACGCCCGCTTCCTCTGCAGCATCAGCCTGCATCTCCTCCACCCGCTGCAGCTCCTCCACCCGCTGCAGCTCCTCCACCCGCTGCAGCTCCTCGCTGCTGCTGCTCAGCAAGCAGAGAACCTGGAAGCAAAAGGTTAAGAAAATCTGGCAGCAAGATGAAGCTGAAGCCTGATGAAATCAGCAACAGAGTTAGAAAACTCAACAAGTACCGAACCGAAACCAGGAACGTTTCAGCATTAGAGGAATTCTTGTGTATGGTTAGCATTTAGCATTAGCTTCAGCTAAATACCACGTTGATGTAGCGGTTTAGCATTAGCGTAAGCTGTCCATGATTAGCGCGTTGGGCTAACGCAGCTAGCTTTAGTCACCTGAGGTGCGAACAGGCCCATGAGGATGAAGAGGTTGCAGCTGAGGATGAGGATGCTGCACAGACAGAACTGGGCGGCGGGGTCACTGGAGGTCAGCAGCGACCCGGCCGCTGTGGACGCGCTGAACCCGGTGAGGGAGAACATGCTGAGAGCCAGGAGCTGACCGCTGACCGCCGGCGCCGCGGCGTCCGCGGTCCGGATGTTCCAGGCCAGGAAGCAGCCCAGACCCTGAGGAGGAACCAGCGGGTTAGTTTAACCTGTTGCCATGGAAACGGTCTGCTGTCACGGTTGCATGAGGTTCTGACCAGCAGAGGGGCTTTGTATCCGCAGACGGCGGTCAGCCACAGCTCCATGTTGGCGCTGCTGCAGCGTTCAGAGGACCAGCGAACGACGACGTCCTGATCAGCCGCCACGTCCTGAGCAAACAAAACCACAACTAACTAGTTTAGATAAATAGTTAGTTTGGTTACTAACAGTATTCAGCTTTTTAATTAAATATTTAAACTTAACATTTCTAAACTAAACTCTCCTGTTTCTCTATTTTCAGGTCAAATCATTTCTGACAGTGAAGCTTCAACGTCTGAAGATGTCCAGACGTTCTGGAGCCTCTGGACCGGTTCTGGCCCGGTTCGGAGGCTCCTCACCTCCATCTGGTGCTGCAGAACCTCCCGTCTGAGCGGGTCCAGGATCTGCCAGGAGGTCAGAACCAGCAGGTCCAGCAGGAGGATCCAGAGCTGAACGCGGCCCGTTTCCTGCAGCCGGTTCTGGTTCTGGAAACACAGAGATGTCAGCATTCCCTCTGGACCCGGAGCGGTCCATCCGGACCCGGAGCGGTCTTACCTTCAGCCGGACGCTGCAGACAGAGTAGACCCTCCAGGTTCTGGTGAGCAGCGCCGCCAAACCCACAGTGTGACCCAGAGACAGAGTCCACAGATGGACCTGCAGCACAGGACCCAGGAGTTCTGGTTCTGGTTCTGGACTGTAACAGTCTGGGTTTTATCCTGCGGTTTAGCTTCATTACGTTTAGTTCAAATTATTTCCATAAATGCGTCAGAATTTTCCCAAAAGCTTTTTTTCTTCCATCTGGATAAAATCAGTTTAAATAAACAAATCAAACAATAAATACAAAACAAGGAATATAAAAAGTAAAAGAAGTCATTCAAATTACATTAATAAGTTTTATTAGTGATCATTATTATATTGTTTAGCTTTAGTAGTTTTTTTATGTTCTGGTTAATTTTTACCTGCAAAATTCAGAAAAGTCAAAGTGATTAATTATTAATGAATATTCAGCAGATGAAACCAGTTTACTAAATAGATTCAGTTGTTTTTCTCTTTTGCTGTTAGCGGTTAGCATCAGCTGACAGCTGCTGTAAACAACCTATGGAGTGAAAAAACTGTTCCACGTCTAATAAAACACCAATGAAGGTTAATTATCTCCAATTTGTTTCAGTGTTTTTTATTTTGCTTTATAAACGATTTGGCTCCTGTTACACTTTTTATTTATTTCACTTCAAATGTTTTATCAACCTGAGTTTGTTTCTTTTGGTTTAGTTAACTAGAATAACTTGGTTCTGGTTCTGGACTCACAGAGCAGAACATCTCCAGCGTCGGGCCCGGCAGCGAGGTCCGGTCCAGGCCGGAGAACAGGACCGAGCCGGAGGACAGCAGGAGGCCCAGCAGCAGCAGCTCGTCCTGGGGAGAAGCTCCAGGCCGCCGGGGCCTGGAACCAGACGGACAGCTGAGTTCTGGGAGGTTCTACTGGACCCAGAACCGGACCTGGACCCACCAGCACCAGCGGCCGATGATGATGATGCAGAGGACCGTCAGGGTGATGAAGATGGTTCCGGCAGCGGCTGCTGACAGGACGCAGTAGAGGAGGAGGCCGACCCGGCGGTGCTGCTGCCGGACCAGAGTCTGGTCTCTGGCCGGTCCCGGACCTGCAGAACAGAACCGGGTCAGTTTGAACCCAATGACCTCTGGACCGCCAAAGGGACGGGGAACCCAGAGAGACCCGGAATGACCCGGAAACTTTCATCTGAATGTAGAGAAGAATTCTGCAATTTTTGTTTTATTTTACCTTTAATGATAATAATGATAATAATAATGATGATAATAATAATGATGATAATGATGATGATAATAATGATAATAATAATGATGATANTTCAATGTTTCTGGCTGACATTGATTCAATGTTGTTTCAATCATTCTGTGCTATCTGGGTAGTGTAATGACAAACTGAGTCAAACCATCAGCTGGTGATTGTGACACCGCGACACACTGAGTGAGACGTAGCTGTAAAACTAAAGTAGACGTCATTTAAAGGGAAAGGACTGACTTACGCTGTTAGCCAGACCCATTCAAGCATTTTCAACTGAGAGAACTCTTGTTCCTGAACTGGTTCGGTGCCTTCAAACTGTGGTGCTCCGTTGAAAGCCGACGCCCGTTTCCACCAGACTGGGGAACCCAGCATTCGTCGTCAACAGAGGGTGTTGTACAACATGGTGGGAGGACGTCATACCACAATGGCGGCGCTAGCTGAGCTGTGCACTGTGTTGCTTCTTTGTTTACATATCTTACTTTAACAAGCCACAGACCTTTCATCTGATAATAGTCTGACAATATTCACCTTTACTGTACATAACAACGGGACTATTGTCATGAATCTAGCTAGTAGCATGATAAACATCTTTGCACCAAGGTATTTCAGTTTCCCAAGCTGCATTTTCTTTCAGATATTTTAGGGAAAAAAAATCCTCAAATAGGCAAATTTCTCAAGAGTAATTTGGTGTTCAGTTCCACCGAAATTGGCAGGGATCTACTGGATCCCTAGTCTGTGTTATTGTTTGGTTATGGGATGCTATTTTGGAAACATGCAACTGGATTATTTCTCACTATTTCCACAGAAAAAGTCGAAAGAAATTCCGTTAAGTAGCTTTTTTATCTCTTCATTTTCCTTCTTTACATACATACTTCGATACCCACATACATACATTTAAACACATGCACACAAAAACAACATATTATTTGTGTGCATATTATTTGCTCAAAAAAATAAAGGGAACACTCAAATAACACATCCTAGATCTGAATGAATGAAATATTCTCATGGAATACTTTGTTCTGTACAAAGTTGAATGTGCTGACAACAAAATCACACAAAAATCATCAATGGAAATCAAATTTATTAACCAATGGAGGCCTGGATTTGGAGCCACACACAAAATTAAAGTGAAATGTTCCTTTTATTTGTTTGAGCAGTGTATATGTGTGTGTGTGTGTGTGTGTGTGTGTGTGTGTGTGTGTGTGTGTGTGTGTATATATAGTGCATGTGTATATATATACACACAAATAATACTATATTAAACTGAATCATCTAAGAATATCTCTTGTCATATTATTTCCCTTATTATTTTACTGATTGTGTATATCCATCTTCCATATAACTACTTAGAAATATTTCTTGTACCTTTTGTTAAGGAAGATTTCTCTGAATTAGTTAATTTTGGAAAAAGTTTGGCTCTCTCCTTTATGATCCCGGGTCCTCTCGCGATGGCCACGTGTAGTCACTCAGAAGAAAACAGCAATGCGTGTTGACGTCATAGAATTGCAGTTTAATCCAATAGAAGACAACGCATAAAATTACAATAGAAACTGCAGAACAACAGAGACATACATTCATTTACCTGACATAAATGGAAAGAAGAAGAAGGAAAGAAAGCAAAGACGTCCAAAGACGTCTTTGGAGAATTGCAAGAGCAAATCTAATTTGTTACTTCTGTGTAGAAAGTTTTATAGTAAAAGGCGTATTCTTATCTTTAATTTATTCAAATAAGGCATATCTTTGCTCATCCAACCAGGAGCTATCTCTGACCCTCTCTCTAAAGCAAGGAACTTTACGGCCTTTCACAGATGAGTGTGAAAAGCTAGAACTTCTACTGTATTGTTTTCCCACACAGATAAAAGGCAATTCAAACAATCCTAGCAAACCATCTGTTGTAACTACAGGTAACATAAAGGTCAAAAAGCCAGAATACATTACTGATTTTAAAGCCACAATTAGGCCATTTGAATCAAGACATGTTAAGTTTTAAAACTAGCATATTTTAAATTTATTTTCTTAACACTTTATTGAACATATTTAATGAAATGTACGCCCTCTAATTTAATATTGCCTACAGAACATTGCTTCAGTTCTTTAGCTGTACTGTTCCACACAGTCACTCCACAGGTTGATATATACATGCTTTTATTCTCTAATTATTTTTTTAAATTCATATCAACCATTAACTTGTATCTTCCTTCCCTTTCTGTAAAATAATTCTTGTCTATTTTTGGGATTTCAGGCCCTTTTCTTAAAGTATCTGTCACACACTGTACGGAGGCCAAAATAGAAGATTTGAGGTCCTCAGCAGTTCAGTGGTATCAGTTCTACACCTGAACGCCTCGGCCCACTGCAGCCGCTACATTTAGAGGAACGTGTCTTCATTTTGCCTTTGCTCCTGACTCAGCTGGCTCTGAGCCATGGAGGACAGAGGATGCCAGCAGTTATCCCCCCCCGTATCTTTCTTTCTCTCAGATCACGGAGCTGGAGCTCATCCTGTTACACTACATAAGGGACTGTTTGCACATATGTGCTAAGGTGGGCACAGAGAGCAGGCTGTCAAAGCCATTAGCTCAAAGCAGGCACGGCTTTAACAAGGTATTCCGGTGTTTTCTTGGGTAACGGCCCACTGTCAGAGAGCGGGAATGCTTCCCTCAGACGTGGGGATCATAACTCAGCCATCTGGGCACCATCAGCGCCCGCTTCCTCGGGTGGCTGGGATAGAGTTTTGAACATTTTGAAGCTTTTATTGCCTTCCGTAACCTGCAGCAAAGTGATATTAAATTACTACAACAGAGCAACGGTGGGAGTTGTTGCTTTAGAAGAAATATTTATACATAAAAATCTGAACTGTGGATTCTTAAAATTAATTACAGCAGTGGAATGTGTTATTCTGGCAAGCTCAGTCTAAATAATTGAGCAGGTTGCTAATGCGGCGTATAGTCAAACCCAACACCGGCTGGGCTTTTCACTGGTTTTTGTTTGTTTTTTGTTGTTTTAAAACTCTAAAAGTTACTATTTCACTGCAGCATTAAATATTCACGGGGCAAGGAGCTGACCACATGCTGCAGCCAAGTGCTAGCTGCAGTTGCTAGGGTCTTCCTTAGTTGATGGGGATGCACACATGGGTCCACGTCTGGCTGAAGGCAGCAGGTTGGAACTAGCAGATAAAGAGAAAGACCTTACATAACCTGTCTTGACTGCAGCAGGTCAGCAGCCTTCAGCAAGAGCATCGAACTAGGAGAAGATCTCCTCATTGGACGATTTATGAGATCTGAGCCCAAAAACCCCCAAAAAACAAAAAAAGTCAATGTTTTTTTTTGTTTTTGTTTTTGTGATTGTTGCAACCTAAGAGGACTGATTTTGTGGCACCTTTTTCAAAACGTTGTGGCCAAAGTTGCGCTTTTTTTCTTTTAGTTTTATTTTTGCCGTAACATTATTATACAAAAAAGTTGAAATCATTGAACAGAACCTCCCCAAAAAAAAGACAGGAATGTAACATAGTTAACATTTCAAAGGACAAAATTAAGTAAATTTAACATTTTTAAGCTGTACATCATATTATAATTGTATTTCCTCATTAAAAAAAAGCATACCTGGAGTGTTGCTTTGATTCTTTCATACATTCTTTTAGAGTTATTTTTTTAAAAGCCCAACTAGGGACAAGTGCTGCGAATTAGCTGTTGCTATTGCACCATGATGCAAACATGGGACTGCTGTTTTATTCAGTTTGTCTATGTCGATGTGAGTCTGTCCCTATCAAATAAACTTTATAATAATGTTTGAGAAATCCTTAATCTCCATGGCAACCAGAGTGACCACTGAGTAGGAGCTGCCTTTGAGACGCAGCTCCTCCTCAGAGCTTCAGTCCTCAGCTGAGCCTCTGCCTCAGAGCAGCCCTCCCCCACTCTGCTCCTTCAGACTAGCCAGCAGCAATTAGCAAACACCTGGCAGGCCTGTGCATCAGCTGAGCTCATTTTCAAAGTGCATGCTATTTTTGGCCAAGTTTTATAAAAAAGAAAATTTTATTTGGGAGCATCAAAGTCAACTATTCAGTGAAAGAATCTGGACAGACAAGGTTCTACACTTTGTAAAAGCGTGGTTAAAAAAGATGAATACTTTGTATTGCAGTTAATGTTTTACATTGTCAGAAAATTACATTGGTGATCATTTTACCCTGATTACAAAAAATAAAAGTCTCCATCAACCACCTGTGCTGGATGAGGCAAATTTGTATTATGTTTTTTAGGGCCACAACCATACGTGAACCGAGCCGTTTTTTCACGTGGTTGTGGTTCTTCTCTTCCTTCATACAAAAGAAACAGAGCAGCACTTCCATTTAGTCTCCTGAGCGTCTTGCTAGCCGGGAGACTTCCAATTCCCTGAAGTGCTGCAGAAATCAACCGAGCAGTCGTTGGTTCATCCACATATAATTTCACCATAGGGGACGATAGAGAGGAGAGTAGCTCCCTTGATGACTATTAAAAACTGATTACACAGAGAGGAGTGTCTTGCACCATGCTGGATTTGAAAGGATTTATGTTTCGGTTTCTTAATTTAGCAAAAAAAAGACCCTCCCCCTCCCCACCCCTCTCTTCAAGTGTCTCCCTTAAGGTTTCGTAATTTGCGTGCCGTAGAACATGAACCAAAGTTGCTTGTCTAAATGGCGGCTTTTAAAGCCACTAAATCCTTAAATTAGCAGCATGTCCTTCACTATGCAGATGGGGGGTGAAGTATAGCAATGTTCCACACAGGCAGGAATCGATATGTCTGTTGATGTTACTGGTTTTGAAGTGACCCCACCTACTTATTTGTAAATATTGTAAGCTCATGCAAATCTGCAGTGGCTATTAATATAAATCAGAAAAAAGTGTGGCATATGTACAGTCACAGTGGGGGAAATAAGTATTTGATACACCACTGGGTTTTGAAGTTTTCCGTTTTTCCACTTCCAAACAATGGAGAGCTCTGTCATCTTGTTGTAGGATCACCTCGATTTTGAAAGACGGTATCTTAAATATTCACTTAGTGCTCATCAGAATTGTACAAATTTTAAAAAATTGTAATTGTTTTGATTCTGTAGTTTTAAACGCATTGCTTTATATTTAGTTTTTATACTTTTATTTTATTTATTGTTGATTTTCATTTAAACCTACTGTTAAAGGTATTTTAGGGACATATGCTGTAAATTAGGGTATGACTATAAACATCTTTTTTTATCACACACTTCACATGTTCAACATGTGAAATGTGTAG